TCCTAAATAATAATAAAAAAATAATAATAATAATATACCTATTATTTATTACATCATTTCCAATCCAATTGTGCAACATTCGAATGACGGAGGCTCCTTTGCTGTAGGAAATCGTATCAAATATCTCCTCAACTTCTGATGGTGGACCAACTATAACCTAAAACCAAACATAAATAAATGAAAAACTCAACTTAAAGTACATGTATGTACATGTTGTACATAAAATATAAACATGTAGAATTAAAAATATTATAAAAATGAAGGAATATCTTTTAGCGACATTTGACAAAATTTGGCTAAGAATTTTAGTAGTTTTAGTATGCATCAATTTTCCTGGCTTGTGTTTTTGCCCAATTTTTTTTAATTCATAAAAATCCAATTTCTAAAAATTTCACCTCAATAGGGTGACTGTTGGAGAGTGCATCAAGACTCAATGCTTGAGCGTAATCCTGCGCCAGGAACTGGGTCCAAATATCAAACTCAGGATGACAATAATCAACACACAGGTACTCAATCCAAGACGCAAAACCTTCATTGAGCCACAAATCAGTCCACCACTCCATCGTAACCTATGGAGAAATAATTATAATAATAATAAAATATCACCATAATATTTAAGATAATTATGGCCACTAACTAACTAACTAACTAACCAAGTTTCCAAACCATTGATGGGCCAGTTCATGTCCTACATAAAACAAGATAATAAAATGGCGGAATGAGGTACCAGAGAGCAGCTGCTTACCAACAACAATAGCCACAATCTGTTTACTGGAGATAGGAGAATCCTCACTAGCGAGTAGGAGTCTTTCTCTATATGTAACTAGGCCCCAGTTCTCCATAGCACCTGATAAAAGTATCAAATGAAATGATGGATTTATTATAAGGACTGACCAGCTGCAAAATCAGGGATGGCAATAAGATCAATTTTAGGAAGAGGATAAGGAACATTGAAATACTCCCTGTAAAAGGGCAAAGTCTTTGTAGCAATCTAAAAGGAAGAGAGAGTATTAGAGGAAGTAAATAATTCTTTTCTTTTCTTACATTCAGTGCAAATCTTCCTTGCTCTTTCTTTCCCAGTGGAGTATACACTCTCACAACTACTCCATTGCTGTCCTTATCTTCTATGTAATCATACTCTCCTACTATGAACGCTAGTAGATATGTTGACATTATTGGAGTACGATTAAAAACAACTGTCTTGTTGTCACCATCTTCCTTTGTTTCTTTGACATCCTAAGATAGAGAGAGAGAGAGAAAAAAACACACAAAGATATAATGTGTAATGTATATGAACACTCAACGATTAATCATAATGAATCTATAGTTCCTCTCATACCATGTTGGAGAGAGCCACAAGGTTCTTTGGTACAACTAGCGTCACGTCAAAAGTTGCTTTGTGAGCTGGTTCATCCCAGCAGGGGAAGGCACGCCTAGCATCAGCAGGCTAAAGGAAGAGGAGACATTATGTGTAACTGTAACAAGAAAACATGATGGGGGCTGGATACAATATGACCACAATATCACTCCCTAGGTTGAGGTTGTAAAAACAGTTACATCATGCTTTGCTGCTATCACTGATATTCTTTCTTATTCTTTCTCCCTCCTTCTCTCCTTTTCTCTCTCTCTCTTCTAACTTCAAATTGTGTTACAGCTGTATATCTCTCAACATCAGGTTCGTCAGGACGTGTGTACTTTGACCTGTAGAATCCCTTCATCTGGTCATTGAGTATTCCAGTGAAGACAATGTTCAGTGTAGCTTCAGATGATGATATTTCTTGAGGAAAATCAAACGAAACTCTCTCATCTTCTTTCTGATAGCTAACAGTGCCAACTGCAATAATAATAATAATATTAATAATACATGATTGATTACTGTGGTAATTGGCAAAACAAACTTTCATTATATGGGAAAAATAATGAAAGTTGTCGACCACAAACTATTTATGATAATATATCTCTTGTATAATAGCAAGCAAGGATAATCACTAAAGTCTAAATTATTTCAGCCCATTATCTAATTACCTTGATCTCCACAGGTGACGTTAGATATTTCAATATCAGCAGAATTGAGACATACAGTCTTTGTTGGAGTATTAACCTAACAATACAAAACAATAAGGACATAAACACAGTACAATAGGCTTGTCACTTTATGCTGTTCAGTCTAACTTTTAATGTAATGCAGACTTTCCCAGCAAAAGTGAACTTCTGCAGGTCAGGCTTCAGCTCTAGTGTATAGTTGACAGGAACTACATCAGTTGGGAGTCTAGTGAATGGTTTCTTATCAGAACTCATGATCCTTTTCTCTCTGTCAGCAGAAGAACAACCACGAGCTCATCAGGAGAGGTGTGGAGGATGTGGAGCTTAAAGGCTCTAGCCTCGCCCAGTCAGTGTCTGAAAATGTTTTGTGTGAGAAATGCATTCTCTTTATCAGTTAAAAGAGTTCTGAGGACTAGTTTAACCTCAAATTCATCAGAATATAATGTAAGTATAGATTGACGTGTAGATATATCTATTCTTCTGTAAATTTTGTGTGAGCTTTAGATCTAATTTAGTCTTGAATACTTCATTAATGTGGGCTTGATTGCAATTTTGAGCTAATATCCAGAATTTTGGGTGGAATTTAAAAATCTAAGCATTAATATTATGTTCATACTTGTTCATGACTTCTTAATAATTAT